AATAAAAGGCCAGAGGATAGCAAAAGTTAATGCACCGGGAGACATCTCAAAGGGCCACCAAGATGGTCTCTGAGAAAACAAAATAAGCTAGTCACCAAGTTATTACATACTGCATGTATAAATTTAAAAACATACCTAATTCATAATTTTGAAAATATGTTACTAATAACAAGTCTCACTCCTACTAGAGGAAGGACACTCTGTATTTCAGAGAGTAATTCAGTAAGTAGACTTTCAGGAGTACTTCAGACTTAAACACAAAAACAAATATATTTTTAACTTTGCAGTTGTAAATGGTAGGTCATTCAGAATACTTTAAGGACTCTAAGTAATCTAAATTTATTGTATCTTATTTGAAACCCTAGGACTCAGATTTAAGAAAAGAATTGCTTACCTGTGAGGGAGGCTGATTACTAGTCTGTAATGTTGATGATTTTGCCTATACAATCATCAAATGATTGTATGATTGCCTATACAAATCATACAAATACAAATGAAAGTGATTTAGCTTTGACAAAATGAAAGAAAAAGTGATTTTTCTCTTTCCTGTTCTGTTAAAAGATTTTTAATTATGAAATATTAGTTTATTGTTTTTCTGTTATGATTACCACAAAACCTGTACTGACCAAATGACAAGATCCCCAAAATTGTCAGCCAAATAAACATTTTTGACAGATTATAGTTTTATAGTCCAAATTATATAAATAAAATGAAACCTCAAATTAACCTTAACTATTCTTTTATATTCTTATTAAATTATCTAATTAACTTTATTAGCTTTAAAATTTTCAAACAAGCTACCACTTTACAAATGCATTTGAGAATTGCAGCCTTGATTATTAATTAAAATTATGAATATGTAAATAATATCCAAGACCTGTTTTGGAAATTCATTCCATTAAAGCAGAAGTGTATGACAAATATGAGAAATGAATTGTTAGTGTTACCAGTTTTGTTTTTTAATTTTTTTCCAGCTTTATTGAGTTATAACTGACAAATAAAATTGTTTATATTTGAAGTGTACAATGTGATGATTTGATATATGGTTGCACTGTGAAATGTGTACCATTACCAAGTTAATTAACACACCCCTCACGGCACATAATTGAGGTTGGGGTGAGTGGGGAAGTACGGTAGGTTATTTGACGATGAGTATTTACTAAGCAGAAAGATTTTGCGCTAATTTAGGACACTTATTCCAATTTGGCTCATCCCAAACACAAGTTTCCTTAGACTAGATGTTAGAAACTTATTACTCCAGGTTGTCCATATAAATTAGAGAAATGATATGAAGATTAATGAGGTCATTCATTCATTCAACAAATATTTTCCTGAGTGTTTATTATGTACCAGTTATTAGTCTAGGCATTAGATCAAGTACCTAGAAATTAACTGGATATCATTTCCAAGATAGTTTCAGTCTCAGTCTCAGTACAGAACGTTTAGTATGACAATATGGTTATAAAATGTACCTATCCACTGCTGCTGAGAGCTCTGTCTACCATAGATGATAAGAGTTTACATACCATTTTGAATTATGAAAGTATAGTATTTATTACCTTCTTCTTCTTTGATAATATAAATGCACCAACCACTGGGCAATAAAAGGCCAGAGGATAGCAAAAGTTAATGCACCGGGAGACATCTCAAAGGGCCACCAAGATGGTCTCTGAGAAAACAAAATAAGCTGGTCACCAAGCTATTACATACTGCACGTATAAATTTAAAAACATACCTAATTCATAATTTTGAAAATAGGTAACTAATAACAAATCTCACTCCTACTAGAGAAAGGGAGATACTCTGTATTTCAGAGAGTAATTCAGTAAGTAGACTTTCAGGAGTACTTCAGACTTAAACACAAAAACAAATATATTTTTAACTTCACAGTTGTAAATGGTAGGTTTCATTCAGAATACTTTAAGGACTACAAATAATCTAAATTTATCGTCTCTTATTTGAAACCCTGGGACTCAGGTTTAAGAAAAGAATTGCTTACCTGTGAGGAGGGAGGCTGATTACTAGTCTGTAATGTTGATGATTTTGCCTATAAATACAAATGAAAGTGATTTAGCTTTGACAAAATGAAAGAAAATGTGATTTTTATCTTTCCTATTCTGTTAAAAGATTATTTTTAATTATGAAATATTAGTTTATTGTTTTCCAGTTATGATTACTACAAAACCTGTACTGACCAAAATGACAAGATCCCCAAAATTGTCAGCCAAATAAACATTTTTGACATATTATAGTTTTATAGTCCAAATTACATAATATGAAACCTCAAATTAATCTAAACCATTACTTCTTTTATATTCTTATTAAATTATCTAATTAACTTTATTAGTTTTAAAATTTCCAAATAAGCTACCACTTTACAAACACATTTGAGAACTACAGCCTTGATTATTAATTAAAATTATGAATATGTAAATAATATCCAAGACCTGTTTTGGAAATTAATTCCATTAAAGCAGAAGTGTATGACAAATATGAGAAATGAATTGTTAGTGTTACTGGTTTTGTTTTTTAATTTTTTTCCAGCTTTATTGAGTTATAACTGACAAAATTGTTTATATTTGAAGTGTACAATGTGATGATTTGATATATGGTTGCACTGTGAAATGTGTACTATTACCAAGTTAATTCACACACCCCTCAGGGCACATAATTGAGATTGGGGTGAGTGGGGAAGTACATTAGGTTATTTAATGATAAGTATTTACTAAGCAGAAAGATTTTGCGCTAATTTAGGACACTTACTCCAATTTGGCTCATCCCAAACACAAGTTTCCTTAGACTAGATGTTAGAAACTTATTACTCCAGGTTGTCCATATAACTTAGAGAAATGGTATGAAGATTAATGAGGTCATTCATTCATTCATTCATTCAACAAATATTTTCCTGAGTGTTTATTATGTACCAGTTATTAGTCTAGGCATTAGAGATACAACAAGGGGCAAAATGACAAAAATTGATGCTCTGAAGTATTTTATACTCTAAAGGAGGCACACAGATAATAACACCACCAAAAATATACAGTAAAATATACAATATCTCAGGGAGTGATAAAGGCCATAAAGATAAATAAAATCAGAAAAAGAGATGAAACATGTTAGAGGATGGGAGTCTTGCAAGCGATTTAAACTGTCAGGAGAGGCAAATGAAAATTCCCAAGACCCTCGCTTCATTGAGAGCTAAGAAGTAACCAGCATTACCTGCACAATTAACACTATGATTTTTTGGCTTTAATGATATTCTTCCACATATACTGCTGAAGAAAGAACACTCAATGACACTTGTTAAAGCACTGTAGGGAAGACTAATCAAGGGAGATGGGGCTATGGCTATATGTATAGGGCCACTACAGTCAGGGAGAGCGTGCACTCAACCCCAGTAAAGCAATAGGGAAGTGGCGATTTACAGTAAGGGTGCAGGGTGGGGGTGAGTGGATGGAAAATGACTAAGAGGAAACATCAGGCGTAAGAGAGCTTCTGGTTAAGTTGACCTAAAGGATTCTTGCTGAAGTCAGGCCAGGGTGATCAGAAATCACGTGGGAGAGAGGGAAGATGAGGAGCCCAGACAGACAGCAAGGGTACGAATCTGGTTAAACTGACGTGGAGGCAGGGTTCTTGTTACAACTGGATTTTACAAGGAAGAAGTGCACAGCTGTGCCTGAGAGGAAGGTTCAGGAACATGACGAATGTTTGGTGAAGCACTGATTCTTTGTCAGTGTCAAGTAGCTTTTATGTAGCTTTTACATATTTAGAAATTCAACTTATTCTATTGCTAGACTGAAATAAAGTTTACTGTATCTTTCTGAAAATCATTTTCAAAGGAAAAATCTCATACAATAGTAATCACTGCAAAAAAATGGGAAGACGTAGTACTATTTTTAAGTCAGGTGCTCCCTAAGGTTATGAACTTCCTGAGGGAAGAAACTGAGATGTTTTACTACCATCGTTGCTGTCATCATTGTCCCCTCACGTGACAAAGCTTAAGTGCTTAATATGTTCCAGACACTATGCTAAGCATTCTATTTTATCCTCTGAACAAGCTTATAAGGCAGGCAGGCATTATTAATATTCCCATTTTGTAGGTAAGGAAACTGAGGCACAGGGAAGTTAATAATCCAACTGAAGATCACACAGTAAGCGGCAAAGCCAGGATTTGAACCCAGGTAGTTTGCTCCAAGGTCTGCTACACTGTACTACTTCCATTTTCATTTTTGTGTCTGTTGCCTAGAAAAGTATCTCGTACATAGCCATTCAATGAATATTTACTGAGTGAATGAATCTAAGGAACTATTTTATGAAAGATTATGTATCTCAGGCAACTTAGTGTGATAGAAAATGAATTACAAGAGAAATGAGGAAATGAGCTATAGACCTGCCACTAAAGACTGTGTCCTCCAGTATCTCACCTTTTATGTTTGCTGAACTAAGTTTCCTTCAGGTTTACAATCTTCTACTATTCTACCATACAATTTTAATCTATTTATTTGTCTTATTTCTTTATGCATTCATTTATTTTATCCATCCAAATCAATTATGCAAATTTTAAGGAATAAGTCCTTAACAAGTCAGAATCTGTCTTTAGAGTTTATTTTATGTAAGACAGAGTGAACACTTCTAAAATAAATGAGAAGAATTTTCAACATAATTTTAATACCTTCTAAAGACATTAAATATATATAAAATACAAAAATACTAATCACAGAGCAAGAAAATACAGATTACCAGAACAATACTAGTCAATATTACTAAATTAACAAATGAGGTTTCCTGCATGGGCTAGCTCTTTTTTGCTTCCTTTAAGATAATTCTGCATGAACGTAGGGATAGTTGGATGGGATCACAGGCCTTGAACATTTTATTTTTCAAGATAATATAGAAAGCAAAATTTTCTTATTAATAAAACAACTAAAATATTCTGTTATCAATAACCTACTCTTACCTGTATGAAGTAGTATCATTTTTAAGGCATTATTCTTTTAATTTTGGTATCATTAATATACAATTACATGAGCAACATTGTGGTTACTAGATTCCCCCCATTATCAAGACCCCACCATGAACCCCATTACTGTCACTGTCCATCACCATATTAAGACACTATGGAGTCACTACTTGTCTTCTCTGTTTAAGGCACTATTCTTAACCTTTTTCATCACAGACCCCATTGAGAATCTGATGAAAACAACAAATCTCTCCCCTCAAAAATGCAAAATCAAACAAAAGTTTGCATACTACTCTGGAGTGTTCATAGACTCGCCAAAGTCTACAGATTCACAATCTTAGTGACAAAAAATTGTGATTCAAAATCATTGAGATACATAAAACTGAGAAACCTTTGATAATCTGAGAAGTCACTGATTAGGTAAAGGGCAAGATATTCACGGTGGTTGTTTGGACAGCCTACAGTATTTAGTTACTTTATACATATCTCCATTTAACGTGTTCATCTGGTAATGGGAGCACATCTTTGATTAATCTCTACAAATTCTTCTTAACATCTGTTATAGCATGATGCTGCCACATAGTAAAATGTTTGAAGCCTGGTCAGACAGCCGGATGTTGCCTCTTTCTTTTCTGCAACCAGTGCTACTCAAGAAGAAACAAGTCAGGGGACAAATGGGGCAGATCCCTAGTAGCCATTTGAAAGCTCTGCAGTGGAGCCCAGTCACAACTGTGAACCAAGTTGACTGTCCCTTCCTATGAACCCTTTCCCCTTCTTTCAATGCCTCCTCTATATTCTAGCTTTATTCAGTACAGGACAGCAATCTGCCACAGTAAAAGAGCACTGCCCTCGGATACAGGATGTCTGGGTTCTGCCTGACTTTCTGCAACTTACTAGCTATGCTGCCTTTTCAAAGCTAATACCCTTGGGTCATCCAGGGTCAGACGATGGCAGAGGTCAAACTATAACTCTACATTCCTCTCTGGCTTTAAAGTTTTGATCCTAAAATTAATTTACACCAAAGAATTTGTAACTTGATATATTATCTCTGCAGCATTTTTTTTTTCAGGCGAAGGGAAATTTAACTTTATTAGGAAATATGCCAGGACCCTGCCATGAAGCAGTTGACAACCCAACTGAGTATATAATCATTAGACAAACACAAATATTCATAACACTCCATGAACGAAGTTGCGTGAATAGCTAATGACAGGGCACAGACCCAGCACCCTCTCTGGGGACGGGTGGGAACATGGGAGGATGGACGACAGCCCCCCAAAGATGACAATGTCCCAGTCCCCTGGACCCTGTGAGTTTGTTACCTTACACGTGTAGGGGAGGAAAAAATTCTCCTCTACTGTCTTGGGGTCTCTAACTGGGAATAAGAATTAAAATGATAGAAGACAGATTAATAGGAGAGAAGCATACAAATCTAGTTAAACTCTAAAACATAGCCTTCACAAGAGAATGAAGATCCAAGGAAGTGACCAGAGCACAAAGCTTTTACACCTTTTAGACAAAGAAATGATAACTCTGTGAAGAAATTACAAGATGAAGGGGCTTGGGCTATGGCCAGTAAATTGACCAGGAGATATATGGGAAGGAAAACTAGGGAAGAGAGTAGGTTATTTTACTAAGTGTATCTGTACTGATCCATTTCCAGCCTCTGGCACTACGGCTGTTCTCGTCCTGGTACACGGAGGCCCCTTTCTCAGGGGAAACTGTACAGCCTGCTTTTAGATAGGAAAAGGGTAGGTCAGAAAGCCCTGCCTGCATCTGCTGTTTCTCAAATGCCTTCAGCTCAAAATAATCAATGTGTCAAAGTGGCATATTTGGGGGGTGGCATGTCCTGAATTCCCTCCCATGGTCAAAGGGACTTTGCAGATATGTATTAAACCAAGGATCTTGTGATGGGGAGAATATCCTGGATTGTACAAGGGAGCCCAATATAATCACAAGGGTCCTTCTGGGAAGGTGACAGAGGACCAGAAAGGAGAGAGGCTGCAATGTTGCAGGCTTTAAAGATGGAGGAAGGGGCCATGAGTCAAGGAATGTGGCAGCCTCCAAAAGCTGGAAAAAGCAAGGAAATGCTAGGCTCCCCTAGAACCTCCCAAAGGAATTTCTGTTGTGTTTTTTTTTGAGAGGGCATCTCTCATATTTATTGATCAAATGGATGTTAACAACAATAAAATTCTGTATAGGGGACTCAATGCACAATCATTAATCAACCACAAGCCTAATTCTCAACAGTCTCCAATCTTCTGAAGCAATCTCTGCAGCATTTTAAGAAGATAGACGACAACACTTACTACAAAAGAAGGGCTCCATAATGATGAACTCCAAGGCATTCGTTACGATCTCTTTATTAGTTCCCCAAACTGCACCGTTTAACAGCTCCTATTCCTCTAATACCAAGACCCTACTCCTACCTCCAACATGGCACTGCTAATTTTCTATGAAGTGGTATTTAACTGTTGAAGCAGTCTTTTCTTAACTAGCATTTGCAAAAGGAGATCCTTTAAAAAAAAATCATTAAACTACATTGATTTGTGCAAACCTGATCAACACAGATTACAGTTATGCTGTTTTACAGGCTCAACAATGGAAGAAGACAAATTCAGAGGCTCACCTCTGAAGCTGTCAGTGTTTCCAGTTTGTGAAGTCTCTGAAGGACATTCTGCATGTCCTCCTGCAGTCGCATGAGCACAAGGGCAATCTGCTCATTGAGGCTGCCTCTCGACCCTCTGTCTGAACCCCAGCGTTCCCCATCACCTCCGCTTCCCACTTGCCAACCCTTGGTTCCTTCACTCAGATGTTGCATCCTATGACCTATTTTGAGAGAGCAAAAAAAAAACTCCTTTAAAATAATTCTTATAAAAGAAATAACATGTTTTATTCATTTTCCTCTATTATTTCTTTGAGGTCTAAATCGCCAAAGTGGAGTGGACACAATCAGGAAGTACACAAAAGATGAGATCAAAGAAGTAAATATGTAAACATTTACGTACATTGATGCATTCTTCAATTTTTCTTGCTAAGGTTTTATAATGTACTTGAGATAATAGTACATGACTAAATGCATGTAACTCACAAATAATATACGTATTTGGGGTGCACTCTCACAAATTCTTTACTAATAAACAGATAAGACTGAAAAAAATTTGAAGACTGCTTCTTTAGAGTACACTGAAAACTATACTAAATAGCTATGCTTTCCTTTTTGGTCATTTTTGGTTTCACCGTATTTTAAGCCTCCCAAAGGGTTTTAGAATGTGTTTTTCTTTCCATTATACTTAGATAGATATTGAAATCTCACTACTAGTAAGATTTTGTTATATATCCATCTTTTTCTATGTATATATTTACAGAAATGGCATTACCCTTTATACATGACTTTGTGCCCTGATTTTAAAAAATAATATAAACACTTACCTACATCATTAAATTTTATTCCAAATACACTGAAATGACTGATAAATTCCCTAGTAATTCACTCATTCCCCACTTTTAGATGGTTAGGATGATTCCAAACTTTTGTGATTACAAATAACACTGCAATGAATGTCTTTGTAGATAAATTCTTGTTCAAATTTCTGCTGATTTCTTTAGAACTCATAGATAGATTCCAAGAATTTGAAGACTCCTATACTCTAGTATCGAAAGGAAGTAAATTTTGAACTACTCCTTCATGAAGGACCACTTCAGATACTGGTATGAACTTTACATGGGAAGAGAAGTGTGAAGTCCAGTTGGAGACTGGTTTTTTCCTGCAACCTTAAGAACTTGACCTATCTGTGATGGCCTGTCAGTGGGCACTGATGACACTAGAGAGTTGCTCCTGCCTCTGCTCATTTACTATATGCTATATACTATTCAGCTTTCAACCCAGCCTTCAAAAAGACAGGATTAAGCAGACCACTCCCATGTTTTTGGTAATCCCCACCTCCAGCCGTGCTAATTACCCTGGGTTTTTTTTGCCTTCCAGGGTGCTTTTCACCACTTGCACCCTATCTGAATTATCTGCTTATTTACTGTCAACTTCCCCTTCACTAAGTGTAAGCTTCATGAAGGAGGCACCAGTCTTGTTCTCTACAGCATTCCAGGGACCAGAACAGACCCTGACAGAACAGGCACTCAATATTTCTTTGATGCACTACAAAGCAAAGCTTAACTTCAGGGTCTGACATTTTTCTGGACCTGGTGGCTTATGGGGAGCAGTAGCACGGAGGAGGTGGGTTAAAGTCAGCTTGTAAACAGGAGCCTTCAGATACACAATCTTGACAAATTGCCTAGAGAAATGGACCTAAACCAAGGCTCTAGCAATATGATCTTTGTTTCCTTGACTAAGTTTCCTTGACAATTTTGCATGTGTTCAAATGGCTATTTTTAAACTATAATTTTCTTAATACCATTAATTCTCTTTTTCTTCCTGCCATGTCTCCATGCTTTATTTATTATTTTTTTATTAAGGTATGATTGATATACACTCTTATGAAGGTTTCACATGAAAAAACAATATGGTTACTACATTTACCCATATTATCAAATCCCCACCCATATCCCAATGCAGTCACTGTCCATCAGTGCATCCATGCTTTATTTTATGTAGACTTTTTTAAACCAGATATAGAAATAATCCTTTAATTTTTATGACTTCATGAAATTATGCAGGGAATTTTCCCTTTTTTTTTAGGTGTACAACGTAATGATTCAGTATTTGTTTATATTGCAACATAATTACAGTAACTCTAGTTAACATCTGTCATAATATATAGTTAGATCATTTTTTCTTGTAATGAGAACTTTTAAGGATTAATCTTGTGCAATACAGCATTGTTAACTATGGTTACCATGTCATACATTACATCCCCAGGACTTATTTGTTTTATAACTGGAAGTTTTACCTTTGACCCCTTCACCATTTTCCCCACCCTCTGACTCCTTACCACACCCCCCACCTCTGACAACCACCAAACTGTTCTCTGCATCTATGAGCTTGGTTGCTTTTGTGGGTGTCTGATTTCACACCTAAGATCTTATGGTGTTTTCTTCCTGTTCATTCTTTTTCACAATACTTACATAAATAAATTAATATATTTACTTTTCTTCTCCATTCAACTTTCTATTTTTACATGATCATGGCTATTCTTATTGTTTAATCTCAGTATGGTTAAAGGTTCTTTTATCTCTATTACTTGATTTGTCAGCTTTGAATGATATCTTTTCACTTAAGTAAAGGAATGTGGAAAAGACAATGAATTCATATTTTTCCTATAGTAGGAAAAAAATGTGGCCGCACAGTTGGCGCAACCGTAAGTAGATTGCTCAGGGGGTGACAGAACACAAATCTGGCTACCTCAAAACTGCATAGAAGATATAGAAATAGAAACGTTTTCCCCTGTGTCTGTGGAGGACACTATTATGCTTTGTGGCATCAAAGGAGAGAACAAATCAAAGAAAAATGGTCAGATGTTATGTAAGGAAAACTTTTAACATTCCCTTTGCAGACTGACAGTTCCGATGCCTTTCCTATCTGGAACCTCCCCATTTCACTAATTAGTTTATAAAGATAATGAAGACAAAAAAGAAGTAATAGGTACCTCTCCCTCTTCTGACATTAGAGAATTTCTCATTCTCTCTACCCGGTCTCTCTTGGGGTGGGGCTCCACTGTTACTTCCACCATCTTCTCCTCCGTGCTTTACTTCACCCTTTCCTTCAACTGCTACCACCTGCATATACCCAGTGTTGCCATTTCTGGAAGATACTTGGAAATCTTCAGGAAAATCAGAATTTTCCAAGGGCTGACTGGGATCACCACCCAAGTAATATTGACGTAGTCCATTGTTCGATGTAAAGCTGTCTAAAGACTACAAATTTAAAACAACACTGAGTTAACAGATGTAAACATATATTATACACCATGAAGTTTGCATGATAATAGAACTTTTAATAAAAACTTTTCTATGTTATTATGGAAAATAATATTTTGCTTCCAGTATGTAAGGAAGAAATGGTATGGAAATGTTTCGTCCATGAGCAAAGAATGGAGGAGTTTTGGCAGTGACGTTTCTCATGAGCCAGTCATTCATCCAAGAAACATTTAACTATCTACTCTTATCCTAATTACTACACTAAACTCTAAGGATAATATGAAGGATCTCTATCTGCAAGAAACTTACCTTGTTAAGGGAGTGAACAAAGTAAGATTATTACAACATAGTTTGATAAGTGTTACGAAAAGATGTACAAAGCATGCTATGGGAGCTCATGCAGGGACGCGCAGCTCACACTGGGGTCGGGTGGAGGCTTGGTGAGGACAGACTTCCTAGGGGAGATGACGGGAACTAAGACCTGAAGAACAGATCAATATAAGCCAAGTCAAAGATGTGGCAATGATGACAGCATGTGCAACAAAGCAGCAGTGGGGCAGGGGCTGATGTAAGAGCTTTTGAGATTACAGAATCGACAGGACTTCAAGACTGAACATGATAAGGAAAGGAAAGGCAAAGACTAGATGGTTTTATGATACTACTCAGGATGAGAAATACAAAGGACAAGGTTTCAGGGGGACTGAAAGAGACTATGGTATAGCTACAGATAGGTAAAACTTGAGGTGCCTAGGCAAGATGTCTAATAGAGCACCTAGAGTTCAGAAGAAACATACAGGTTGGAGGCATCACTTTGAGAATCATTAGTATGTGGGGAATGGTTGAAATCAAAGGAGTAGTAACTAGGGATATATTCCTGGTGAACACCAAATGTAAGGGGTCAACAGAGGAAGAAAAACTCACAGAGGAAGTCTACATGGGGCCCAAGAGGTAAAAAGAAACCCTTACAAGAATGGTGAAATGGAAGCCAAGGGAATATTTTCAAGGAGAGTATAGCTAATATTGCTTAGTGATATTCAAGTGAGATAGGAAACATAAAGCATCCATTCAAATTAGCAACAAAGGCATGTCGGCATGTATCTGAAGTGTATGAACACAGTGAATGAACGTGACCAACAGAAAGCCTGGCCATGAAGGGAAGGAGGGAGGTAAGACAAGTTAGAAGGTATCACAGGACTTTCTTTTAAAGATGGAAGGGAAATAAATATGTGTAGCCTTGAGAAGAAAGCAGAAGAGGGACACTGGTTGGGAATAGCTGAGAGAGGGTATAAAAGATGAAGATCTCCAAAGAGGTGAGAGAAAATATGACACAAAGTAAAGAAACTACCTTAGGTGGGAAGAAGGACATGTGTTCCCCTGAGGTGGGAAGAAAGGTGGCAGAGATCTAATGGGTATAATGTACAGTCGGTAAGTTAAAGCAGCGCCAAGGCACGCAGTTCAAGTAGTAATGACCTAACAGCTTCTGTCTTCCCAGTGAAACAGAAAACAAAATTATCTGATGAAAGCAAAGAACAGGTGGAATAGGAGTATCCATCCCCTACCCACACCACCAGTCGTGGTAGAATTCTAGTTTCCTGTGCACTGGGCACTCCTCACGGTGTGGTCTGCAGACGTGCAGTGTCCGCATCCCCAGGGAGCTTGTCAGAAATGCACATTCGTGGTCCAACCCCAGACTAACCAGGTCAGAAACTCTGGGATTGAGGCCCAAGATTGTGGACAGTCAACAAGCTCCCTGCTGAAGTTCGAGAAGAGCCGCTTAAGAGGTAAGAAGAACGTGTAAAACAAAGGGGAAAACAAAACCTAAACCGTTTCCCCCTTATTCCTTCATCATAGAAATCTAACCCACCTCACAAAACTCCAAGTGGACTAGTCTGCACCAGTATACTGGCTGGAAATCATATCATTAGCACAGGTATCTGTACATATACAAACACTTCATGTCTCCAAATCTCGGTTTCAGTTTCACAAGAGTAATGTACTTCCAAACCATCATTTATTCCACTAAATGGCTATTTTAGGACATGATTTGCTTTTAGCTTTTTAGCTTCTACAAAGCAGTAACTGTGTAATAACAATTCAATCTTTCAAAATTTCAACCTTTCAGAAATGAATCTATAAACTACTCAACTGATTTAAACTGGACTGAGAACAAAAGCTGTGAAATAAAAAATTGACTTTCTTTGCAATGGTAATTTGGTAAGAGAGATGAAGCCCTTGAAAGTATGAGGGTTTCTATCACGTCAGAGATTTTAGTAAAACCAATGGGATACAGTGCTTTCAGACCATGAACCTATGCAAAGGACAGAAATCAAGACAGAAACATTTACAGTCATCAAAAAGCACAGGAATCCTGAAAATAAAATTCTAATACTTATGCTTTAAAAAATGATTTTAATATAGACCATCTGCCATGGATAAAGAAGTTGAAAGTAGGAGTATGTAAGATTGAGTTTACATAAAGAATAGGTTGGGTAATAATAATAAAATAAGTAACTAATAAAATATGAAAAAATAAAATAATGAAATTTTAATTATACTGGCAGATTGGCCAATCCCTCGGTAGATAAGATACAGAGATGAAGCTTGGGGACAAAATAAATAATGACTCTTTAAAACAGGGAATATGAGAAGTCACAAGGAAGTATAACAAAAAAAAGTTGCGAAGTAGTAACTATAGAGCAATACTAACAACGGTAAAATTGTATGAAGAACGTAATTAAACTTTTCTGATAGAAGCAAAAATAATCTGTCACATAGGCAACATTAGTTATTACATAAAACACAAGGAAACCGAAACGTACCACAGACAATTATAATGCTCATTTTAAAACTTCTTATAATGGAAAATTTCAAATATAACACAGTACCCAGTTTCAACAATTATCAGTTCAGGGCCATTTTTGTTTTACCTGTCAGCCCCATGACCATCACCAGTGAATTACTCCAAAGCAAATTCTAAATATCATATTACCAGGCTAAATACTCTATTGCAATGGGATAACTATGTCAAACATGAAAGAAAATTGCCTACTCTGTGTGCATATGGTGTGTATTGAGTGTGGCATGCTTCACTGACATATTTAAGACGATATCATAGACTTTTTAAAAAACTTTTGTTAAGTGGAAATTAGTGAGAAAAGGAACCTGTTGAAATAGTAACAGGCAAACAATAAATGTGACATTAGTCATCATCAAAAAGAATTTTAAAAGCACCTTGATTCTCAAGGACTCCAAAAAATATAGTTTTAAAAGAACACACCTAGGTAATCTGTGAATGACAACCCATAATTAGCCTAGATTGGTGAGGGTGGTGATGAGGTGGGGGTTGTATCTTGTCTAAGATGGTTTCTTTCAGAAAGGGACATCTGAATTAGGGTTTAAGGGTCGGCAGGAGGTAACTCGGTAAAGGGGGAAGGAGGTACATTCCAGCAAAATGAATGCAAAGGTGCTGGTGCTGCAAGACAGAAGGCAAAAGGATTCAACATGTTAGAGGATCGGAGAGAAAGCCCGGGTGGGTGAGGCACAAAGCCTAAACACAAGAGTGATGCTAACAGAGGCCAAAAAGTAAGTCGAAGCTCCAAGAAGATTTTAGTCCATCAACTGCCTTACAAAGAAAATAGAAGCAAACCTAGAACTCAGTAACCGGTTATTTACTGATAATCACCAACCTTCCCCAAACAAATGTTTCTGAAAAGAGAAAATAAACGGGAATTTGGATTTTTATCACTTTTCATTTTCATTTTCCATTGATTTCAGCTCATTCTTAGCTTGGACTTCTTATTCGTCCCACCTATGCTACTCATTTGTTGAAAAGCGTTTTATCCATGTTTTTAAAATCTGAGAAAACTAAAAGTAGATTTAATTGCTTGATGAAATGAAAAAAAAGGGGAAAACACCACAAGGAAATACTAAAATCATTACTTCAGGGAGGCAAAAGATAAATGATTTGCTGTAATACATACTTGAACTGTGTTAGAAGGGCCAGGAGAGAGCAGGTAAGAATATAAAAACACCAAACATTACAACCTGGTCATTATCAGAAAAAGTTGTCACAGAGGAAAAGGAATTCAAGTAGCTTTATTAATTTTTTTCAAATGTTAATTTCTAATACTTAAATGCCAATTAACTGAAATTTGAAAATTTATTTCCATTCAAAATTTCAATCCAACATACTAAAGTCAATGTGAAGAACAAATTTATTTGTCTGAAAATTATTCAGTTTTCTTGAACATTAATCAGTTTCCAACAGTGTCTAGAATAAAGTATATTCTGCCTCCCCATCCCACCTCTTTCAGAATATTTGTAAGTATAACAGTTAAATGTTATTTTTGAATATTCAGGAATTTTATTTATTTTCTAATTCAAAAAGTTGTTTGAAATACAAATGTTTAAACATTTCATAGGTATGTTTTCAAAATAATAAACACATATACATCTGCTATTAACCAATGTTATACACCACTTTGAAAATTGACCAATTAAAAATCATTTTTACCTCTTCTTGTCCAAATTGTTCCATGGAATCACAGTAAATTTCACTGTCTGAATCACTTGTCAAATGATGAATTCCAGAAACATCTTCAACATGATCATCATTTGTATCTAAATATGAGTAAGTGTCCAGGTAGAATAATTATTTTCTAATTAAAGAAAAATACATTTACTCCATTTTTTAAATTTATTACCTCTATATTATTTTCATTTTGGAGATAAATTTGACCACACCACACAGTTTTCTTTGAACTTACCAAAACTTTAAATAAATGTAGTTGATAATTTTTATTTGAAATGATTACAAAGTATTTTATAAATACAATTACACAAAAGATACTGTCCAGATTAAACCTTACAAAACTTAATGACCTTAATAATAGAAAACTGACTACCAGCTAGAAGGCCTAAATTTGGCATGCAAGTATACAAGTCTGGTTGTTTCACTAAGAAATTATATTTTGTTTCTTGACTGAATTGTAGCAATGTTAACAATTCGCTGAACACATGGCAACGACAGGCTTACCCCTAGAGCTTTAAAATATGAGAAGACTACAACTTGTCTCGCTGATTAGAGAACAAAAGATATCATATAATCAGAAGTTTAAGGGAAAAGAAATATGAGGAAATAAAAATAAACATTTCAAAATTGTATTTTAAAATGCTATTCTAAAACACAGTAAAATGTCTCAATAAAAATATAAAAGCCCTGGCTTTAATTCACTACTTTTCAAAGCTATAAACCCTTAAAATATTATTAACGCCTAAGATATTACTGAATAAGAGATTTTTAAAATTCTACAGGGCTCCTAAATACTCTAAAATTATTATTAAAAGAATATTCTACTCTAGGAAAGAAGCTGGATGGATCCCTACAATGGGATAATACCTCGGTGAAGGCAGACAGTAGTTTTTCCAGTTTGCTCCAAGCTTTCACCCACAGGCTTTACTTCTTCAGCACTTCTGCCATTCAGGGAAGAACTGGCATGAATGTCATTCTGTGTATCTTGAACAAAGCTGTCTCTGTCACAGCCATTAGAGACAATGATTTCTAAATTCTCATCGTCTGTGGATTTCACCATTTTCTTCCCTATGTAAGAAAATGGAGAGATTCTTAAAGAGTTCTCAGGAGGTCAACTTCTATATCCAATGTTTTAATATCAATTCCCCAACCTACCATACATAATCCCTTTGAAGAGTTCCCTATTTAGATCAAAAGAATGGGGTGCTCCTTGAAAAAACCTGTATTATATGCTAAGAGCTCACGTAAATTGTGTTGGTTTCAAAAGCGCTTCAGTTTCCTGTGAATCAGCAAATTGCTTCTTCTCAGACCTAAGCAAATTGCTATATGACAGCCACCAGTATAAAGGGGTCCACACACTCAATAAAAAGATTTTTCAATGAAGGTATTATTTGTCATACCTTACTATAAAGTAAAGGCAAAACTATGCTGAGAATCACCAGTTGTCTTCCTAACAAGGCCCCCAAATGCAAGTACCTTGTGATTCCAATGTTCCCTCTTCATCAAAACTGCTACCTATACCTTATTCTCTGGATTCCAAGATATTGAGGGTTTCACTTGTCTCCTCTCCTTGGTGGCATGCAAATTCATATTGGAAACAATACATTGCATGACTTCATTTCTGAGACAGCATTCAGGCATTACATTTAGAGGAGTGGTGTGTTTCCTGTCAGCCTTCAATTAGTATCTATTCCATCTGTGCATGAGGCTGGTTGTCTCTACACTTCAAAGTAGAGCCCTTAGATCCACAGCAAACCCTTTACAGGGTCAATAAGCCACATCCCACCATATGCACTAATCTCTTACAATGCCACATCAGCCTAAACTTTTCCATATTCTTCCATCCTATTCCATATGGAGTTTCATCCCATGATCAAAAATTACCAGTGTCACTTTGTTCTGTTCCTTTTCCTTCTTCTTGGATCTCTTCTTCCTCAGACTCAGTGCCACTATCACTGCTTTCAGCTTTACCGTTAACAGTTTTGGCATTTGCAGTAGAAGTTAGAACATTACCAAGATCTAAAATACAAAATGACCACTTAACCTCTAATGCTGTAACATACAATAAAGCCATGATTTACAAATAATACTGTTATTTACAAATAAGCAATGATTCTGAAGTAAAAGATGGACTCTTGATATAGAAAAGTATTCTTTCACCATAAATATACATACATTACATAAATTATTTTGCTTATCAGTTTACAAAAAAAATGATAAAGCTATCTTAAATCCTTTCTGAGTAAGGCATAAGGAAAATTGTTTTTAAGTTAACATCAATCAAAAGAGTTAAGTTAGAGATGGATGACCTTTACACATGGTAAATAAAGAGACAGCTGTAGGTTAGTATGCTGAAAGCATATATGTATTTTTGGCCATAACATCATCAATTGTAGTTCAACGACATTTTAAAATTTTATCCTTTTATTATATTCAGGACTTCATGTGCACAACTTACATTATTGTCTTTATGTTTAAATTTTTAAGAAATATGTCTGTTAATGCAATCAATCACTTAAACTCTCCTACTGACCAATCCTACTTTGAGAATAAATGCATCAGAACTTCTCAAATGTTAATTTGCATAGGTCACTTGAGATCAAGTGAACATGATTCGGAATCAGTCTGGGGTGATCTAAGATCCTGCATTTCCAGAAAGCTCCCATGTGATGCCAATGCTGCTAGACCACACTTTGAGACAGGGAATTACATTCCCATCATTCTTCAGATACTAATAGTTTTTTAAGTGGCTACTGGCCAAAAACAGTGGACAGAAGCCACAATTATCACAACAGATGCAGAAAAAACATTTAAGAAAATCCAACACTCTATCACAATAACACTGAAGAAAGTAAAACTACAAGAAAATTGCCTTAATCTGATAAAGGGCATCTATGAAAATTCACAACTACCATCATAGTTAATGTTAAAAGACTGGATGTTTTGCTTCCCAAATAAGGAACAAGACAAAGATGCCTGCTTTTGCCATCTCTATTTAACATCATACTGGAGGTTCTAGCCAGGGGAATTAAGCAAGGAAAAAAATAAGAGACATCCCAATTAGAAAGGAAGAAACAAAATAATCTTTACAGAAAGCATGCTTTATATTTAGAAAATCCTAAGGAACCTACAAAAAACTGTTAGAGTAAATGATTTTGTGACGTTACAGGATACAAGATCAATACACAAAAAACAATTGTGTTTCTACAAACACTAAACAATCCAAAAATGAAACTGGAAAACAATCCAATCTACAATAGCACCAAAAAAGAATAAAACACTCTGCAATACACTTGATAAAAGGTGTAAAAAATACACTATAAATGACAAAACATTGTTGATTAAAGAGGATCTAAATAAATGGACTGGAAGACAATACTGTTGAGAAGACAATACTTCCCAAAATGATTTACAATTCATTGTAATCCCTGTCAAAATTCTAGCTGGTGTTTTTTGCAAAACTGATAAAGTAATTCTAAAATTCATATGAAAATCTGAGGCATCCAGAAAAGATAAAACAATCTAGGAAAAAAACAAACTAGGATAGCTCATACTTCCCGATTTCAAAACTTAATGTGTATATATATTCTGAAAAAGCCCATATGACACAGATATATCAGTTCTCCTGAGCCTAAAGGGCTACTTTTAACAGGACTATTTAGGGGGGGGAAAATGGTCAAGATTGCAAACTGTCCTGCAATTTGGCAGTATCTTACAAAACTGCGAACATCTACATCCTTTGATCTAGCAGTTAGACTTCCAGTATTAGTTCTTATACATGTACTCTGCATATGTAAAATGACATTTGTACATGATTACTTTCAGCAGCATTTTTTGAAGATCAGAAGAGGAAACAATCTAAATGTCCATTAGAATGGCACAGGTTAAATAAATTATGTACAAGGTCGACATCCTTTACAACCCTATGCTTAGAAATTCAGTTTTCTCATTTTGCAAAGGTCATACATTACCCTGTGTTTTATGTAACACTTATTTCCATTCAAAATTTCAATCCAACATACTAAAGTCAATGTGAAGAACAAATTTATTTGTCTGAAAATTATTCAGTTTTCTTGAACATTAATCAGTTTCCAACAGTGTCTAGAATAAAGTATATTCTGCCTCCCCATCCCACCTCTTTCAGAATATTTGTAAGTATAACAGTTAAATGTTATTTTTGAATATTCAGGAATTTTATTTATTTTCTAATTCAAAAAGTTGTTTGAAATACAAATGTTTAAACATTTCATAGGTATGTTTTCAAAATAATAAACACATATACATCTGCTATTAACCAATGTTATACACCACTTTGAAAATTGACCAATTAAAAATCATTTTTACCTCTTCTTGTCCAAATTGTTCCATGGAATCACAGTAAATTTCACTGTCTGAATCACTTGTCAAATGATGAATTCCAGAAACATCTTCAACATGATCATCATTTGTATCTAAATATGAGTAAGTGTCCAGGTAGAATAATTATTTTCTAATTAAAGAAAAATACATTTACTCCATTTTTTAAATTTATTACCTCTATATTATTTTCATTTTGGAGATAAATTTGACCACACCACACAGTTTTCTTTGAACTTACCAAAACTTTAAATAAATGTAGTTGATAATTTTTATTTGAAATGATTACAAAGTATTTTATAAATACAATTACACAAAAGATACTGTCCAGATTAAACCTTACAAAACTTAATGACCTTAATAATAGAAAACTGACTACCAGCTAGAAGGCCTAAATTTGGCATGCAAGTATACAAGTCTGGTTGTTTCACTAAGAAATTATATTTTGTTTCTTGACTGAATTGTAGCAATGTTAACAATTCGCTGAACACATGGCAACGACAGGCTTACCCCTAGAGCTTTAAAATATGAGAAGACTACAACTTGTCTCGCTGATTAGAGAACAAAAGATATCATATAATCAGAAGTTTAAGGGAAAAGAAATATGAGGAAATAAAAATAAACATTTCAAAATTGTATTTTAAAATGCTATTCTAAAACACAGTAAAATGTCTCAATAAAAATATAAAAGCCCTGGCTTTAATTCACTACTTTTCAAAGCTATAAACCCTTAAAATATTATTAACGCCTAAGATATTACTGAATAAGAGATTTTTAAAATTCTACAGGGCTCCTAAATACTCTAAAATTATTATTAAAAGAATATTCTACTCTAGGAAAGAAGCTGGATGGATCCCTACAATGGGATAATACCTCGGTGAAGGCAGACAGTAGTTTTTCCAGTTTGCTCCAAGCTTTCACCCACAGGCTTTACTTCTTCAGCACTTCTGCCATTCAGGGAAGAACTGGCATGAATGTCATTCTGTGTATCTTGAACAAAGCTGTCTCTGTCACAGCCATTAGAGACAATGATTTCTAAATTCTCATCGTCTGTGGATTTCACCATTTTCTTCCCTATGTAAGAAAATGGAGAGATTCTTAAAGAGTTCTCAGGAGGTCAACTTCTATATCCAATGTTTTAATATCAATTCCCCAACCTACCATACATAATCCCTTTGAAGAGTTCCCTATTTAGATCAAAAGAATGGGGTGCTCCTTGAAAAAACCTGTATTATATGCTAAGAGCTCACGTAAATTGTGTTGGTTTCAAAAGCGCTTCAGTTTCCTGTGAATCAGCAAATTGCTTCTTCTCAGACCTAAGCAAATTGCTATATGACAGCCACCAGTATAAAGGGGTCCACACACTCAATAAAAAGATTTTTCAATGAAGGTATTATTTGTCATACCTTACTATAAAGTAAAGGCAAAACTATGCTGAGAATCACCAGTTGTCTTCCTAACAAGGCCCCCAAATGCAAGTACCTTGTGATTCCAATGTTCCCTCTTCATCAAAACTGCTACCTATACCTTATTCTCTGGATTCCAAGATATTGAGGGTTTCACTTGTCTCCTCTCCTTGGTGGCATGCAAATTCATATTGGAAACAATACATTGCATGACTTCATTTCTGAGACAGCATTCAGGCATTACATTTAGAGGAGTGGTGTGTTTCCTGTCAGCCTTCAATTAGTATCTATTCCATCTGTGCATGAGGCTGGTTGTCTCTACACTTCAAAGTAGAGCCCTTAGATCCACAGCAAACCCTTTACAGGGTCAATAAGCCACATCCCACCATATGCACTAATCTCTTACAATGCCACATCAGCCTAAACTTTTCCATATTCTTCCATCCTATTCCATATGGAGTTTCATCCCATGATCAAAAATTACCAGTGTCACTTTGTTCTGTTCCTTTTCCTTCTTCTTGGATCTCTTCTTCCTCAGACTCAGTGCCACTATCACTGCTTTCAGCTTTACCGTTAACAGTTTTGGCATTTGCAGTAGAAGTTAGAACATTACCAAGATCTAAAATACAAAATGACCACTTAACCTCTAATGCTGTAACATACAATAAAGCCATGATTTACAAATAATACTGTTATTTACAAATAAGCAATGATTCTGAAGTAAAAGATGGACTCTTGATATAGAAAAGTATTCTTTCACCATAAATATACATACATTACATAAATTATTTTGCTTATCAGTTTACAAAAAAAATGATAAAGCTATCTTAAATCCTTTCTGAGTAAGGCATAAGGAAAATTGTTTTTAAGTTAACATCAATCAAAAGAGTTAAGTTAGAGATGGATGACCTTTACACATGGTAAATAAAGAGACAGCTGTAGGTTAGTATGCTGAAAGCATATATGTATTTTTGGCCATAACATCATCAATTGTAGTTCAACGACATTTTAAAATTTTATCCTTTTATTATATTCAGGACTTCATGTGCACAACTTACATTATTGTCTTTATGTTTAAATTTTTAAGAAATATGTCTGTTAATGCAATCAATCACTTAAACTCTCCTACTGACCAATCCTACTTTGAGAATAAATGCATCAGAACTTCTCAAATGTTAATTTGCATAGGTCACTTGAGATCAAGTGAACATGATTCGGAATCAGTCTGGGGTGATCTAAGATCCTGCATTTCCAGAAAGCTCCCATGTGATGCCAATGCTGCTAGACCACACTTTGAGACAGGGAATTACATTCCCATCATTCTTCAGATACTAATAGTTTTTTAAGTGGCTACTGGCCAAAAACAGTGGACAGAAGCCACAATTATCACAACAGATGCAGAAAAAACATTTAAGAAAATCCAACACTCTATCACAATAACACTGAAGAAAGTAAAACTACAAGAAAATTGCCTTAATCTGATAAAGGGCATCTATGAAAATTCACAACTACCATCATAGTTAATGTTAAAAGACTGGATGTTTTGCTTCCCAAATAAGGAACAAGACAAAGATGCCTGCTTTTGCCATCTCTATTTAACATCATACTGGAGGTTCTAGCCAGGGGAATTAAGCAAGGAAAAAAATAAGAGACATCCCAATTAGAAAGGAAGAAACAAAATAATCTTTACAGAAAGCATGCTTTATATTTAGAAAATCCTAAGGAACCTACAAAAAACTGTTAGAGTAAATGATTTTGTGACGTTACAGGATACAAGATCAATACACAAAAAACAATTGTGTTTCTACAAACACTAAACAATCCAAAAATGAAACTGGAAAACAATCCAATCTACAATAGCACCAAAAAAGAATAAAACACTCTGCAATACACTTGATAAAAGGTGTAAAAAATACACTATAAATGACAAAACATTGTTGATTAAAGAGGATCTAAATAAATGGACTGGAAGACAATACTGTTGAGAAGACAATACTTCCCAAAATGATTTACAATTCATTGTAATCCCTGTCAAAATTCTAGCTGGTGTTTTTTGCAAAACTGATAAAGTAATTCTAAAATTCATATGAAAATCTGAGGCATCCAGAAAAGATAAAACAATCTAGGAAAAAAACAAACTAGGATAGCTCATACTTCCCGATTTCAAAACTTAATGTGTATATATATTCTGAAAAAGCCCATATGACACAGATATATCAGTTCTCCTGAGCCTAAAGGGCTACTTTTAACAGGACTATTTAGGGGGGGGAAAATGGTCAAGATTGCAAACTGTCCTGCAATTTGGCAGTATCTTACAAAACTGCGAACATCTACATCCTTTGATCTAGCAGTTAGACTTCCAGTATTAGTTCTTATACATGTACTCTGCATATGTAAAATGACATTTGTACATGATTACTTTCAGCAGCATTTTTTGAAGATCAGAAGAGGAAACAATCTAAATGTCCATTAGAATGGCACAGGTTAAATAAATTATGTACAAGGTCGACATCCTTTACAACCCTATGCTTAGAAATTCAGTTTTCTCATTTTGCAAAGGTCATACATTACCCTGTGTTTTATGTAACACTTTAAACAGAGCCTAAGGTAGCTTTCACTTAAGAGAAAGGAAAGATTCTTGCAGCAAAACATGAATAGTTACACTAAACAGGATAAATAAATACTTAAACAGTCATTTCAGGTCAAGGTCTGCTTTGAAGTTCATATCAGGACAGATTTTGCTGCCAAGGAGTTATAAAAAAACCTTTGGTTTATCAAGATGTTTGAAGTTTTAAATTACAGCTAAGGAATTTTGGACCTGAGCCTTTATTATTATTATTATTCTCTCTTGCTTGTTTTTATAATTAGTTGTTTGAATATCTGTCTCTAGTAGTAAGCCAGACATTAGTAAAGTAGGTACGGACTTAGTTATATGTTAAGTATGCATCCTAACACGCTTCACACAGAGAAAACACTTTCTATTTTTTCTGAATTGAATAAGCATGAATTCAAAGGGACATTATTTGTTAACATTTGAATCCCCTAGGCAAATCAGATATAGATGGTAGGGATACCAAAAAAAAAAAATGGATACCAGACTGATTTTTATATAAAACATGTATAATTTTCATTTAAAATGACTCTCATTGGCTCATTTTACTCTGCTTTCTGAAAAAATCAAAAGGGCCAATATTTACGCTATCAGCAAATCTGCATATTATTTAACTCCTATTAGTATGCAAAATATAACTCTTTTGGTTCTTTACTGAGAGCACATTAAGTAGAAACCTAAAAAAGCAAAAGACCAAGCAAAGTGATTTCCCTGATGTTGTTTTAGCTTTACTACCCTACTGTTAAACAGACCTGCTTTATAATTAGCTAGAAAGTCATTTCAGCCATGGTACAGCTAATATAATTCATAAAGCAAAATAGGAAAAAGGATTGATCAAAAGAAAACATGAACTCTGCTACAATTTTGTATATACTAAGTGAACCACCTGTCATGTTTTAAAAACTTCAAGATTAAATCTAAAGGATTTACAGTATTTTGCAATTTTATGTAATATGATTACTTGGAATGAAAAGCTTATACATAAATTTGTGCAGAATTTCTTTTGCATGTAAATTTTTAACGAAAATTTTACATGGATTTCTTTATTCCTACCTTCTAAGTATTCAGAGATTTTCTCCAGTCGGACTAGCATGTGAAAGTAAAAAAAAAAAAAATTTGACATAACTATCAATGCCTGCATAATATATCAGTTGCTGAATTAAAAGTGACTATGTAAAATTGTCCGACCTGAGGTTAGATCAGAACTTCTGCCACTTTTTTTGTCCTCTACAATTTCATAAAATGGACCTATGAGATGTAACAATTCTTCAACTTTCTCAGTCATCGGCATAGTTTCAAGAATCTGTAATCAAAAGAAACAAATCCTGTGAAATCACATTAGTGATCTATACTAGTACCAAATAATACTATTTATAATTTATTTACAACAATTTTGAGATCTGAAGTTCATCTACAGAGTCCCCAAAGTATCTATATTAATTATATACTCAATGTTATAACTCTTCTACAAAAGTTTCAAGTTGTATGTTAGAGATTTAAAATTGTCCTGATTGTGAAGAGTATTCTTACATAAGCTTCATGTAAAATTTTTTACAATGATCTACAAATTGTGCATTAAAAACTAATGGCATTACAACAGACACATGAAAAGATGCTCCACATCACTAATCATCAGGGAAATGCAAATTAAAACCACAATGAGATATCACCTCACACCAGTAAGGATCGCCAGCATTGAAAAGACTAAGAACAACAAATGCTGGCGAGGATGTGGAGAAAGGGGAACCCTCAGACACTGCTGGTGGGAATGTAAGCTAGTTCAACCACTGTGGAAAGCAAACTAAAAATAGAAATACCATGCTCCACATCGCTAGTCATCAGAGAAATGCAAATTAAAACCACAATGAGATATCACCTCACACTACTAAGGATAGCCACCATCCAAAGGACAAACAACAACAAATGTTGGCGAGGTTGCAGAGAAAGAGGAACCCTCCTACACTGCTGGTGGGAATGTAAATTAGTTCAACCATTGTGGAAAGCAGTATGGAGGTTCCTCAGAAAGCTCAAAATAGAAATACCATTTGACCCAGGAATTCCACTTCTAGGAATTTACCCCAAGAATGCAGCAGCCCAATTTGAAAAAGACAGATGCACCCCTATGTTTATTGCAGCACTATTTACAATAGCCAAGAAATGGAAGCAACCTAAGTGTCCATCAGTAGATGAATGGATAAAGATGTGGTACATATACACAGTGGAATATTATTCAGCCCTAAGAAGAAAACAAATCCTACCATTTGCAACAACATGGATGGAGCTAGAGGGTATTATGCTCAGTGAAATAAGCCAGGCGGAGAAAGACAAGTACCAAATGATTTCACTCGTATGTGGAGTATAAGAACAAAGAAAAAACTGAAGGAACAAAACAGCAGCAGAATCATAGAACCCAATAATGGACTAACAGTTACGAAACGGAAAGGGACTGGGGAGGATGGGTAGGAAAGGAGGGAGAAGTGGGGGAAGAAGAAAGGGGGCCTTACGATTAGCATGTATAATGTGGGGGCCATGGGGAAGACTGTGCAACACAGAGAAAACAAGTAGTGATTTTACAGCATCTCACTACACTGATGGACAGTGACTAATGGGGTATGTTGGGGGGACTTGGTAAAGAGGGGAGTCTAGTAAACATAATATTCCTCATGTAATTATAGATTGAGGATACCAAAATAAAAAAAAAGAAATATACTGGCAAGATACTGTATTGTAAAGGAAAAAGTAATTTCTCGGACTCAGATGAGCACATTGCTTAAAACTGTCCAAGTCCCAGTGCTCTACTCTCTGTTCAACAATCTTAGCAATAACTAGTCCAGTTTCCCAAGGTGCCTCTGACATTTTGAGGAGTGTCCTGTATCTCAATTGTGAGTATGCTGGTCATTAGAAAACGATATCACCCACTGTGTGTTAAGATATTGGCATTCTGGTTTTCCCCTCAATCTCCAAAAGATGGTTATCATGAGTTAAGCCTTTAAAGACAAACCACCTTTCATACTCAGACAGAACCGATGTTCTGAACTTATAGAGCTATAGACCAGATAGATCCTCAGCCATGGTGATGTTTAGGTTCCATCCTTTATGATATTCTGTTCCAATCCTCTCTCTATTACAGTGATTATGCCATCCTCCTAGAAATCCTAAAATAATCAGTCTGGGGTTATGCTGTGGCATTAGAATTTTTCTTTTTTTCTTACACCGGATCCCTAGTAATTCTAATGTGCCACTTGAGTTAATTCTGTGTCTAATGTGTCAGCCAGGGTTGAGGAGACTGATTTCTCTCTAAATTCAACAGATATAGTACACATTATTGGACTACTGGTTGAATTTCCTGGAAGTCTCCATAATATAGCCTGTAAAGTTTGTACAGAAAATAGGACTTTCTATTTCCTTCTAATTATGAATCAAAATAAACTTTATTTAAGGAAACATGGATTGTTTCTCCTAAACCACATTAATTATTTGAGTCTCTCAAAGCTAACATCTTATTAAATTACTTTAAGAGAATATTTGATTCCAGCAACTTTTTAGTGATACTTCACTGGAAAGTTCATAAATTACAAAAAGACATTTTCTATAAAAACATTATCCATTAAAACATATAAATTAAATAATACTTCATTAAACTCTTGAATGCAAAGGCATGGAATGAGATTCACACGAAATGAGTAATTCTAAAGAGCAATAGTATAGTGACTTCCGAGCTATATTTAGGAACATGGTTTAACAATTGCTTCATTTTGTAAATTATTGTAATTAGGAAAGGTCCCAAATTCAGAAATCAAATTCTTGGGATAATGTACTATCCCACATCATTATTTGGAAGCATGCAATTTTATCTAGTGATACCCATAAAGCAAAACTCTGAAAATAATTTAAGAGACTAATCAAACTTTTAATGTATGGGTATCCTAATATTTTTAGATTTACCTTTAAAAGTTCACTATAAACTTTATTACATTGACCATATGAAATGCAGTTTTAAAAGTCTGAGTGTAAACAGTTGGTGCACTCTTTTCATCAGAGAAGTTTTTACAGCAAAGTACAGCATTTTAAGATATCTGAAAGGCAGCAATATACTAAGTCCATCCCTATCTACTTTAAACTATGGCAACATCATTGATCAATAAAATTGGATTAAAAATGGGAAATTTTTACTTAATGTTCAATTCAACTTTGTATTATAGAAGTGGTCCCCAAAATTATAATGATCTTTACAGAAAAGAAAATAGTTATCAAGCCAAAAAAAGGCTTTAAGATTGTCTTTCTCTCTCTCCGCTTTTGAAAGGCTTCCTTGTTGTGTTACTGATAGTTAACAGCTAAAGGACTGAACTCTGCCCTCTGTTAAAAACAAAGTCCTCTAAATAAAAAATGTAAAAATGTAATAAAGGTCACAGCTATAAGCAGTAGATACTAGAATAAAACAAGTTAGTCTGAATCTATCAAACAAAAATTACTGCAAAGATTAATACTGTCAAATCATCTGACAAAAAAAATAATCTTCCTTTTTACAGCTTTTCATTGTGTTCAAAGATAAATTGATTTAAGACTATCAAACAGATCTGAATTTCACAAATTCTGACCCATCTCCAACATAAAAATGGTCCTTTTTAAAAAGGCACTAAGATCATCTTTAAAATCATGATACCCTAATAAATTTGCTTCTCAAAACAATACCTTGAGCAGACTTAACAGAGCTAGTTAATAAGGAAAGGTCCTCCTTACTAGTTACTAGAGAAACAAAAAGCATTCTTAACTTATTTTGCTTCTGAAGGATTTCTGCATATACAGAAAAATGTTTGTTATTAAGTAGTCCAGTGATGGGACTATCTCAACTACGGGTCCAAAGTCGTATGAGAACATTGCTGAGCAGTCTTGTTATATAACTATTTCTCCTAAATAAAAAGTTCCAAAGCAAAAATGCTTTCAACATTAGCCAAGTTACGTCCCACATTCCTGAATAAGGGACACCAATATTTTTAGATTCCTATTCCTATGCTTACTGCTGAAGTTGAGTATAGAGAAAGGGAAGATGAAATCAACAACAAAATACCATGTCACCACAATGTCATATATTTTAAAGGAAAAAATACCTTAAGATGAACTGTGATGAGACAAATGAAGCCTTAATAAATTCAATCATCTAGATTCTATATTCTAACATTATAATCTCTTTGTTCTTTAAAACAAAGCAACTAGTTCACCAGATAACAAAATTAAATTAGATCTGCTCTGAATATTTTTATTTTCTACTGCAAATTATTTTTCCTACCTTTTTCATTTCTTCAACATATGCAATCATTGCTTCCTCTTTGGTCATATCACCCAATGAACTCCAAGCATCCCTAGTAATGAAAATATCCAAGTATCAACAAAAAGTCACCTGATTTTCAATTATTTAGAACAAAATTTATAGTTGATGCTTAGGGTCATTAAATTAAAAGAGGCTATACTTAAAGCCATATTATGTCTCCAAAGGATGTCTTTAAATGCACCACCTTGAAGAAAAATATCAGAGTGAATTAACTGGCAAATTAATATTTAAAACTAGTAAGTATATAACCCATGTATAGACTTACAGAGTGTAAATATACCACATAAACTGTAGGCCACATAGACTACAGACTGTTCATAATTATTTGCTAAGAACTCTTTAAATGCTTTTGTATCATTATAAAGAATAGGATAGAAATGAACATTTTAGAAGACTCTGTGAACTGCTACAGCTATGTTTTAAACAAACATAAGTTTTGGTTAAAAGTTTCCATTGACTTAAATAATAGTCTAACTTACACGCAAAAAAAAGTAATGGCTTTTTACTGCTAAAAAAAAGAAAATGTGAATGCCAAGAAAATGTTACACCCCTAGATAATGAGAACAGTCCTTTGAAATTTTTCTCTAAAATGAAAAACTCTATGTACATTTTTTCTGGAAGCTTTAATCCTACTTAAGGTTAACTGTGAAGAAAAATGTTAAAGTAAATAAATACATTTTCTTAAAACAGATTTAAAAAACATTGCTTTCATATTTAGCCTATTATTTTATGACTATTCATAAAAACCTTAGAGGGAAGTACAGTACTAACAAATCCTCAAAAGAGTTTTAAAGGCTTCCAATTCAGAGTGAATAAATTTAGCCATGAAAATGTGTGGCTCTTAAGACATGCTTTATTAGCAAACTCTGTTCATGAGGTACAATCTGCATTAGATAACGTTAAACATTTTGCTAGACATTTACGAAGTCTTCAACAGTACATAAGAACATCAAATGTTGGTTGGAAAAATGGCTGAGGCATCTCTGGATCTTGTATGATTTTTTAAATCAAATTAAACATCAAATTTCTATTCAACTATAGTGGGACAGGAATGAAAGCTTAGATAAGACTTAGGATGGCAAGACCCGAGTCATGTTCCTAGTTAGTATCTCAAAGGATCAAAGCAAACAATGTCACGTGACAAGCAAAAGTCATTATTTTTGTTGGCAGGAGAGTTAGCTTAACTTAGTTTCAGAGCTGTTTTTGGCATAATAAAAAGAAAAAAATTCCATAATAGTAAAAACTAACAAAATGATTTCAATTTTATTGTTTTCCTCTCATCCCCAAGACTCTCCTATTTGTGTAATTGTGAGTTAAGAGCACATGTACCTAGAACACTTCATGCACAGAATAATACATAACCCTACTAAGTAACAGTCATATACTAATTATGTAATTAAAATAAAAATTCTTTCATAGCTTTCTATATAACATTACCACTTATATCTTCCAATAGGATCCCAGAATCCAGGCCTTGAAAGTTTACAGGGTCCTTCAGTTGCCTGCTTATAGAAGCTATAGAATTTGAGCATCATTTCATTTGTTGGCTGGAAGGAACCTATTGGAAATATACATTAAGTATGGATCACTTGGAGAATACAACTGATGACTTAAGGCTATAAACTAGGTTAGCTATACTAAAAGTGATTTTTAAACATTTCATTAATAGTTCAGATATTTATTTCTAACTCAGAAACAAAAGCTATGGCTCTGGTAGTTCCTTTGACTTAAAAAAACTTGAAGATATTCATAGTTTAATAACAATACTTAATATAATTTAATAAATAAAAGAATAAATGAACAAACATGCTGTAGGAGTAACCAAAATAACTGGCAATGTCATTTAGAAAACAAATACATTAAAATATAGAATAACTGTATTAAGCAACTGTAATCAGATATTTTTATTTAAAGACTGACAAACCAAAACTGACTAGAATAAACGAAAAGGTTAAATGTACACTCTGCTTAATAAAATTTTAACAGTAAGAAATTCAACTCCTATTGACCAAATTTCAATTTTTCAGTGGATAAGTAACTTTGGCTAAAGTCAACCAGTGTGTACTGTGTTAGAAAAAGAAGTAATCTGAGGTAAAATAATTTCCTCACTTTCAACCTTGTAATTCTGGGCACATCAATTTCTTTGAAAATCACTCTTTATGTATGTCTCTAGAATATTTATAACCTTTTTTGTTTAAATATTTCAAATTGTACAAACAAGTGCTGGAAGTTGCAATAGTCTTAATAATAGGGAAAAATTGGGATGTAAACATTTTATAATAATTGGCCAAATAATTTTGTGTTTGTATGTATATCTATATATGTATATGTATAAACACACACACACACACACACACACACACACACACACACACACAACAGGATAATTTAAACAACAACCCTTAAAAATTATATTGTAGAAGAAGATAAATAATGGCCTGAGAAACATTTCATGGTCTACTATAAAATGAGAAGAAAAAAAAAAAGGCAGTTTAAAAACCACACATCTACCCGGAAGATGACTGGTTAGCCAGAAACAGGTAAGATTCCTCAAGGGAGGTACAACCTAAGACAGGCACAGTCACAGGGGGGCCATCAGGTGAGAAATTGGGGATCAACAGAGGTGAGGCTTAGAACCTCACCCCCCCTGTTTTGAGAGAAATCTTCTGCATCTGTGGATGTTTTGTTGCCCTTGTCTAGCTTGGATTAATACTTAGTCTATAGGCACACACCTGATCATCTTTTGCCCTCTTACAGCACTAAACTATGTTTTCTACCTTTATCTTGCATCTACCTACCACTTCAGCATTTTATTAAAAATAATAATAATAATAATAATAATAATGGAGAAATGTGGGATTCACATATAAATCAAGTATAAAAATCAAACGAATATTCATATTTGACCTGATTGTTTACAGTTCATAATGCGTGATCAAAACCGAAAGTTTCTGTGATGACTGCCCTTGCACTGTTCACCATGTAAGAACTTATTTACTACATAAGAATTTGTTCACCATGTAAGAACTTGTTCATTATGCTTCAGAAGATTGGAGACTGTTGAGAAATAGGCTTGGGGTTGATTAATGATTGTGCATTGAGTCCCCTATACAGAATTTTATTGTTGTTAACAACCATTTGATCAATAAATATGAGAGATGCCCTCTCAAAATAAAAAAAAAAAACAGCACATCTACTACAATCCATTTTTGCAAAGTTAGTATTTATATACATAAAAGTACAAGGAAACACATCAAAAAATAAAGGAAATCTCTGTATAGTAGTCATAGAGATTGTTTTTATTTTCATCTTACTTGTGTTTAAAAAAAGTTTTACATTCAGTATCTATTACTTTTATGCCAAAATTATAAAAACTGAAACTGTAAAAAGATATTTTAAAACCTTTATAATTGTGTAATTAGCAGATTACACATACTAATCAAAACCTAGTAGTTGGTAAATGTTGTAATAATTACAACACAGACAAACTGAGAGCTGGTGTTTCAGGTTTGGCCAGGAGTGAAATAATTCATTCCAAAATAACAATCCTACTTATCTACATAATGTATGCTCATTTGGGAGTATCTAATGTTTGATACAGTCCTCCTTCATATAGGAGAGAAGAAAAATAAGAGAAACTTGAAAATGGTTACGTATTTAAGAAACACAAGTCTAAACTCAAAACCTTATGTCATAAAATCTTCAGTAAGTCAATCAAATAAGATTTAAAAGCTTATTGGTCAAGGTGAACGATATTACATTAGAATACATTACAGAAAAAACTGGTAACATGTTAAATGTGTTTGTTCTATGTGTAAAATTCTAATAAAGTATAATCTGTCTTCAAGGTGCTCAAATATGACATACTTATTTTATGTGTTTAAAATAGTACATAAGTATTTAAATTTCTAAAGGTCAAGGGTGTACCAAACATAGATGTTATAGGATTCACTATAACCTTAGGACTTTAAAATAAACATGAAGCAACAAGGACTAAAAAACCATAAGATCTTACTCTTTGCAAAATGGTCCACAGCTGACCAATTTACATGTATTATTATAAAAATATTTAGCAATTCATTATAACAATACTTCTGCTTCAATTAATACCAGTTTATTTTCTGGGAATAATGGTATACTGAATATTGTGCAACACAGGTTATCTTACCTTGCAATATCTTCTTAAATGTTATATAAATAACAAACTGTATTTACAGTTACATGGGCTCCCTAATAAGTGATATATAATGCCAACAAAGACTAGAGACATCGTCTGTATCCAATTTTAAAATGTGTGGTGCGCGGCGCAACACACATAAAACTCCTGGAATCATGCCTTTCTATAAGGAGTGAATCATGCTTCTTTCCTGAGCATTTAAGAAGTCAATAGCTAAGTAAGTTCCTGTATTATTTCTTTACATTTTGTTCATTCACTTTTCTTTCAATCCCTCATGTATCCTCCTCCAATTCAACGTCTGAGATGACAAAACGACTATTTTGTGTATGTTTTTTCTAACATATTCAAATCCGCAGTCAGTAAGTGACAAGACCTTTGTTTTCTACAACTTAAAATCTGGATAATACATTTGTCTTTGGCTTCAAAGACCAGCAGGTAAGTAACTCACATTCGATACCTCCCCTTCGATTACATTTCTTTTAAACGCAGAAGTAGGTTAAAAGAGCAAGGATAGGAGCAGAAAAAAACGGTTAAAGTAGGTGAGATACAGAAACCGGGGCCTCAGACCTCTGCAGAAGGCTTCTTCGACGGGAGATCCAGGGCACTTACCATTTTTCGGCAAACTCTGTATCACCTTCACCGCCGCCTCAAACCTGGCTTCGTGCACGGATCTGGTGTCCGCCATCTCCAGCCGCCCACGCCGACCCCGGTCCCAGGGTCTGTCTGCTGGAATCAGACAGCAGCACCAGCTTTCCCAGGAGCCTGCATGAAACTGGAATATGGAGCGCAGTCGCCGATCGACATGTCCGACCGGAGGCGGCCCACTCGACCGCGCAGTTTCCCTGCCCTTCCCAGGCCACCCGAACGGGGGTGGACCAGCTCCTTCCTCCTCCCCGGGGCGTGACTGTGGCCGAGAAGCCGGTCAGCGAACACAGAAGAACAACTCACCGAGAGGAAGAGCATCTCTAGCAGAAGACGGCGGGGCTCTGGCCAGCGGTGGTCGCGGAGCCGCTCTCCACGGCGCAGGCCCCTGGCGGAGCAGCCACACTCCCCATCCCGGCAGGGTCGCTCGACCGGTCCGCACCGCCCTCCCCGCAGCCCCGCCCCAGAGCCCACCGGGACCCACTAGCTGCGGCCGGCGCCGCCGCGCAGCAAACTCCACCCACTCGCCCGCGGCCTTCACGACCGCGCGCGCGCTGCCAGTCCCCTAAGGAAGGGCCGGGGAGAGGAGGGAGACGGGCCGGGGCTCGCTCCTTAAACAGGCCGGACCGACCGGCTGAGCGCGCAGGGGACGCGGAGTTGGGTGTCTGCGCGCCGGCCCAAAGCAGCGCTAGTCGGTACCGCTGGGCAAAGCATGAGCCTGAGATTCGCAGCGCCTGCCCTGTCTTCGCTAAGCTGTGAGGAAGGCGATGGAACTTATGCAAAGGGCTTTAGATGCGAACAGGCTCGGGGCGAAACTCCTACTCCGCCATTTAAGTTCTGTGGCCTAGGGCGAGTTACTTAGCCTCTCCGGGGGTAACCGTTATACCACCTTACAGGGCAGATGAGAGGATTAGGGATGTTAGAAGGAGAGGTTTAGAAGTGCTTGGCCAAATGGCTTTCCACAGCTGAGGCCACTCTGAGCCAAGAACGTCCTAGCAGCAACCAAAGGAGGCCGGAGGTTGCCGCTACATAGGGCGGCAGTGAGAGGCACCTTCCCCAGCACCACCCAGACATGCCCCGAGGAGCCGGGCACTGCACAGCCCGAACAAGTAAATAGGCGACAGGGCGTGGGGAGGGGCGACTGAGGAACCAGTGCGGATGGTCGGCCCTTGGGCCTTCACCTTTCTAGCACCAAGTTCCTCGTCCTCGGTTCTCTGGGAAGCGCGCCCAGGCCAAACAAGAGGAGGATTGATAGCGCTTGTGAGAGTGGAGTCCTGCGGCCCAAAAAGCCCCACGTCGCCCGGGGCGCATTTGTCAGCTCGGGAGAGATTAGGAGAGTTACTAGTACAAATCTTAGCAGCCGACTATGAGTTACTCTTCCTTCGGAGCCGCAATGTCGGCATTTACCTTGGTACTGCCAGGCAAGGCCTGTCCGGTAATGTCCGCGACGCCCGCCCCTCGCCCTGCCCCCCCCCCTCAGATTTGTGGGAAATGTAGTCCCCTCTCCACGGCTCTCCTGTGCCCCTCCCTTCCTCCGGTGGCAGGCCTTCCTCCCGCCCTGTTCCGGCTGGGTTTCTCCTTTCCCTCCCGCAGGCGCTCGGTCCGCCTCGGCGGAAATCCCTTCTTGCGACTGTGTCGTCTTCTGTGCTAATTCAAAATACCACGTCCTCTGCCCCCAAAAGGGATACTCGGTGGTGTCTTTTGGAGTTATCCTGGTGTGACTGGGCTTGAATCGGAGAACTAAGCTCTGATTCCTTGCTCCTGATGCTTACTAACTTTTGAGTTCAGTGTAGGAGAGCAAAGAGTACCTTTTAGCTAAAGAATCCTACAGCTCACTGAGTGACTAGACGGCATTTGCCAAGAGAATGACACTCCAAAAGTGCTGTAGGGTGTTTACGAATGAGGCAATTGAGGCTCATATTAACTAATTTGTCCAAGGTTCAACAATTTATTAAGTAGCAGAGCCTGGAGTCAGTCAATCCAAAAAACTCTTGCACTGAATCTGGACTTTTTCCAGGACACCAAAGTGTAAGAGACTAACAATTTATCTTGTTTACTCAAACTAGGAAGACTTTATGCGTTTAATATCTATTGTTTCTTTCCGCTTTTTTTCTCTTTTATTTTATCCTTTTCAGATCCAATCTACTCTGTCACGCATACTTATAAATGTGCTTCGGTGTTTATTTCTAATCTAGGACTCCTTTTCTACAACTGTTTATTAAGTTTATGTAATAAGCTAGTTTGCAATATATTGGTCTTTGGTTAATGATGAATAAGACTATTCTTCCAGTGGTTTCTGTTGAAATACTACCATTTGCTGGTGGTAGTATAGATTTCCCATCATGGAGAATAGCATAAGGATAAACAAATTAAGGTTATTGACGCAGAGGCATTTAAAAACTACATCTTTCATATAGTTGTGCTCATGTAACTCATGATGAATATTGGATTGAATCAGGTCCCAGCCAGCCTTCCAATTATGTGAACCTATAATTTCTGTCTAAAATACATCTCATGGGCAAGGGAAACAAAAGCAAAAATGAACACATGGGACTACATCAAACTAAAAAGTTTCTGTATGGCAAATGACACCATCAACAAAACAAGAAGGCATCCTACAGTATGGGAGAATATATTTGTGAATGACATATCCGACAAGGGGTTAACATCCAAAATATACAAAGAACTAACACACCTCAACACCCAAAAACCAAATAACCTAATTAAAAAATGGGCAGAGGATATGAAGGGACACTTCTCCAAAGAAGAAATTCAGATGACCAACAGACACATGAAAAGATGCTCCACATCACTAAGCATCATGGAAATGCAAATAAAAACCACAATGAGATATCACCTCACACCAGTAAGGATGGCCAGCATCTAAAAGACTAAGAATAACAAAATGCTGGCAAGGATGCAGAGAAAGGGGAGCCCTCCTACACTGCTGGTGGGAATGTAAGCTAGTTCAACCATAGTGGAAAGCAATCTGGAGGTTCCTCAAAAAACTAAAAATAGAAATACCATTTGACCCTGGAATCCCACTCCTTGGAATTTACCCAAAGAATACTACTTCTCAGATTCAAAAAGACATATGCACCCCTATGTTTATCGCAGCACTATTTACAATAGCCAAGAAATGGAAGCAACCTAAGTGTCCATCAGTAGATGAATGGATAAAGAAGATGTACACATATTATACACAATGGAATACTATTCAGCCATAAGAAAGAAACAAATCCTACCATTTGCAACAACATAGATGGAGCTGGAGGATATTATGCTCAGTGAAATAAGCCCGGTGGAGAAAGACAAGTGCCAAATGAGAAGGCAAATAGTGAATCTGTGGCATCTTACTTACACCGATGGACAGTGACTGCATTGGTGTGTGGGTGGAGACTTGATAATATGCGTAAATATAGTAACCACATTGTTTTTTCATGTGAAACCTTCATAAGAGTGCATATCAATAATACCTTTAAAATTTTTTTAAATAAAATAAAATAAAATACATCTCATGAAACACTAGTTATGGTCCTTCAGTAGTTCCAGTACCGTGCCTAAAATGAAGCATCCTTTTTTCAATGGAGATATAACTGACATACAATGTTACATTAGTTCCTGTGTACAACATAGTGATTCAATATTTGTATATATCATGAAGCAATCATTATAGTAAGTAAAGCATTCTTGATTAGGCATTTCTAGAGACACTTTATTTAAGAATGGGCCCACTTCTTACAATGACCATAAGAAAGGTAAGACAGTACATTTATGGATTCAAAGAAACATAAGGGAATAAATACAAAAATAACTAAAAAATGATTCTTAGATGCTTTTTTCCTTTACAAATGTTTTTAAATCCCTACTATGTTCCCTGTGATATAATTAACACTGAGGTTACAAAACCCTTCAGGGAACTCAATCTAGTGTAGTAAACAGGCATGTAATATAATAATCACAGCACAATGCAAAAGTGTGGGAGGATATAAAATGTGCTGTTTTATGTATACCAGAGACAACTACAAAAATGTTCATAACAGCACCATTTGGTAACAGCCCAAAGCTGGAAACAGCTCATTGCCCATCAGCAGTAAAATAGGTAAATATGAAATACTGAAAAGCAATGAGAACAAATGAACTACATCAAGTCAACATTTTCTATAAATGTCACAGACATAGTAAGAAAGAAAAAGAATCTAGATTGAAAAGAACATACAGTATGATTCCATTTATATAAAGTTCAAAAACAGGTAAAACCAACTTTTGTTCAAATTTAGGTGGAAGTATAGTGTCTGGAAATGGAATGAGGGAACTTGAGGTTCTAGTAATTTTTTTTCCCTAGTAATGTTCTATTCCTTTAATTAGGTGCTTGTTACACTACTATGTACACTTTGTGAAACTATTGAAATATATAAGATATTTTTCCTTGTGTATGTTTACTTCAATTAAAACTTACATTAAAAATTGTGAGTGCAGTGGAAATAAGAGAGTAATTAAACTATGCTACTCAGATGAGAAAGATTTTACAGAGGAAGCAACTGTTGAGCTGATTCTTCTGGGATGAGATGGTACAAGCAGAGAAGATGGGAAAGAGCCATTCTAGGGGAAGGTATGAAAGCTAAAATAGCACACTATTTGTGATAAGCTGCAAGTTTGTTCGTGTAATGGGAACATAGATATGAAGGAAGGTGGGACAAAGCATTGGATGAAAAGCTAGTTGAGGCTGACTTGAAGGTCATCTATGCCATGCAAAGGAATTTGTGTTTTGTTTATAAACCCATAAAGACTATATATTTGTGTACCAGCTACAGTTTGATCAGGAAAGCGGAACCACTATGACTGATATGATATTACAGATTAAGTACAGAGATTAACTTTAAATGATTGTGGGAGCTGGTGAAGAGGCCTGTGGAAGGCTGTTGCCTCTGTGTCTGCAGGTGAACCTAAAATTGCTATAGGTCAGCATATCTTACAGTCCAGAACTGGTGTGAAGTAAGCAAGTACAAAGACAAACTGTAACTTGTAAGGACAGACTAGAACCAATCAGGACAAAATGAATCCTACATTATTTCTCACCACTTCTAAAGTTAATAACATGGATGACCTTCAGAACAAAATGGTGCCAATCTCTATACAACTGAACTCATGCCTGGCCTAAGACTCAGAGAAGCTGTGGGTCAGGCTGGTATTCTATGCCTGCTAACCTTCAGACTATTTACTTCTACTTGCCAAATCTTACATAAATTCTTACAGCCAACACTAAGTTCGAACAATACAGGGAAGGGAATTCTGAGAGATGAAGTTTTAGCATCTCTAAGAATGATGACCCAATACAAATTCACCACGATTATTCTAATTGTTACTTTTAGAGGGCCAAACGAAAGTTTATTTCAAAAATAGCCAGAAATTAAACATTAAAAAAAATCTAACAGATTAATAGAAAATAGAGAAGAACAAAAAAAAATCTTGCAATTTTTCGTAAACGCAATCTGTTATGGATTGATTATTCATGAACACAAATTTATATGTTGAAGCCCTAACCCCCAATGTGACTCTATTTGGAGACAGGGCCTGTGGTAAAGGTTAAAGGAAGTCATAATGGTGGGACTCTAGTCCAATAGGGTCTTTTAAGAAAAGGAAGAGACATTAGAGCTCTTTCAGTCCACTATGTGAGGGCAGCCATCCACATGCCAGGAAGAGAGCTCTCCCAGAAACCAAATTAGCTGGCACCTTTTCTTGGACTTCCCAACCTCCAGAACTGTGAGAAATAAATTTCTGTTGTTTAAGTTACCAGTCTATGGTATTTTGTTGTGGCAACCTGAACAAAAACACCAGCCATACTTCTGAAAGCCATAGCCAATACAATAAAACAGGAAAAAGAAATGAGGCATAAATATAAGAAAGAAAGAGACAAAATTATTATTTCTAGGTAACAGAAATGTCTATCTAGAAAAATAACATCAAATAAACTAAATACTATTGAAATAACATGAGTACAAGATCATGAATAATTTAAGATAAATATACAAAATCTGCGGTTTCCTATTAGAATATTGGAATCCAAAAATCAAGCTCAGGTAGATTAGAGACTTTAAACATAAAGAGCAAAACCACAAGCTTTTAGAGCATAAGACAATCTTAGCTAATACAGCAAGACAAAATATGAGTGAAATATAAGAATCGGGAAAGGGAAGAACTTTCGTTATTTGCAAATGATATGTTGTCAACAGAAAATTTAAGGGAAGCCACAATTATTACCTATAAAAGGGCTCAGCAAGGTTGTTTAACATAAGATCAATCAATAATGATCCTTTAAAACAGATTATAAAATTTTTATCAATGGGCATGAAAGACCTGGATAAATGGACAGAATAATAGTTAAATCCAAAATTAC